TGAGAGAGAGAGAGAGAGAGAGAGAGAAAGATAGATAGATGATAGATAGATAGATAGATAGATAGATAGATAGATAGATAGATAGATAGGAAGATAGATAGATGAGAGAGAGAAAAGGTAGATAGATATATAGAAATATAGATTAATAAATAGAATAAGAAGATAGATAGATAGATAGATAGATAGATAGATAGATAGATAGATGAGAGGGAAAGATAGATAGATACTAGATAGATAGACAGGAAGATAGATAGGTTAATAAATAGAATAAGAAGATAGATAGATAGATAGATAGATAGATAGATAGATACTGAAAGAGAGATGAAAGAGAGAGAGAGAAATATGATAGATGGAGAGATAGATAGATAGGAAGATAGATAGACGAGAGAGAGAGAAAAGGTAGATAGATAGATAGATAGATAGATAGGAAAATAGATAGATAGGATAATAAATAGAATAAGAAGATAGATAGATAGATAGATAGATAGATAGATAGATAGATAGATAGATAGAGATAGAGAGAGAGAGAGAGAAGATAGATAGATGATAGATAGATAGATAGATAGATAGATAGATAGATAGATAGATAGATAGGATAGATAGATAGATAGATAGATAGATAGATAGATAGATAGATAGATAGATAGATAGGAAGATAGATAGATGAGAGAGAGAAAAGGTAGATAGATATATAGAAATATAGATTAATAAATAGAATAAGAAGATAGATAGATAGATAGATAGATAGATAGATAGATACTGAAAGAGAGATGAAAGAGAGAGAGAGAAATATGATAGATGGATAGATAGAGAGAGAGAGAGATAGGAAGATAGATAGACGAGAGAGAGAGAAAAGGTAGATAGATAGATAGATAGATAGATAGATAGATAGATAGATAGGAAAATAGATAGGATAATAAATAGAATAAGAAGATAGATAGATGGAGAGAAAGGCAAGATAGAGAGAGAGAGAGAGAGAGAGAGAGATAGATAGATAGATAGATAGATAGATAGATAGATAGATAGATAGATAGGAAGATAGATAGATGAGAGAGAGAAAAGGTAGATAGATATATAGAAATATAGGTTAATAAATAGAATAAGAAGATAGATAGATAGATAGATAGATAGATAGATAGATAGATAGATAGATAGATACTGAAAGAGAGATGAAAGAGAGAGAGAGAAATATGATAGATGGATAGATAGATAGAGAGAGAGATAGATAGGAAGATAGACGAGAGAGAGAGAAAAGGTAGGATAGATAGATAGATAGATAGATAGATAGATAGATAGATAGATAGATAGATAGATAGATAAATAGATAGATAGATAGATAGATAGATAGATAGATAGATAGATAGATAGATAGAAGAAGAAGAAAGATAGATAGATGATAGATAGATAGATAGATAGATAGATAGATAGATAGATAGATAGATAGATAGATAGATAGATAGATAGATAGAAGATAGGAAGATAGGAAGATAGATAGATGAGAGAGAGAGGTAGATAGATATATAGAAATATAGATAGATAGGATAATAAATAGATAGAATAAGAAGATAGATAGATAGATAGATAGATAGATAGATAGATACTGATACTGAAAGATAGATAGACGAAAGAGATAGAGAGAATGATAGATAGATAGATAGATAGATAGATAGATAGATAGATATAGATAGATAAGAGAGATAGAGAGATGAGAGAGAAATAGAAGATAGAAGATAGATAGATAGATAGATAGATAGATAGATGGGTGGAGGAATAGATAGATAGATAGATAGATAGATAGATAGATAGATAGATATAGATAGATAGATAGATAGATAGATAGATAGATAGATAGATAGATAGATAGATAGATGAGAAAGAGAAAAGATAGATAGAAATATAGCAACTAGATAGATAGAACAGGAAAATAACAGATAGGAATACAGAGAGATAGAGAGACAGAGACAGAAAGATAGACAGACTATACCCTGCCTCTCCCTCCCTCTGCTTGCCCACCCCTCTATGCACCCATCAGGCCCAGCAGTCCTTTTCCTGCTGTTCTTTAATGCGCCAGATGTGTTACTGGATTAAGCTCATTAAATCTCTTTTGGGACTCCCGGCCTCTCTCCGGGTTGCACCGAGGTGCCTTTGCAGTTACGCAACATTGCAACAACGGGACAAGCTCCATGGGGAATAATGCATGTGCGCGCACGCCTGCATCTGCCTGCCTGTCTCTCTCTGTGCAATTGCACGCTTCTGTCTTCTTTTGGGGATTTCTGCTCATTGTGAGAGTTTGGATTGAACAGTGATTTAATACCAGGATC